CAAGAAAATGTGAGCGCCATCCCACAGAGATAATCTTTCTGTGACTGTAACTTATTGAATTTGTTTATTTCAGTGGCGTTCTCTGGCAGGAATATCTAAGGATCAAAATAGTAATTTTTGAGTATTGTCCTATTGGTGTTTAGGTGTCTGGGTTCACAGCACGGCCCTTCAAAATCACCAGCGCAAGTGATTTCTTTCTGGCTGGCCAAGTTTCTTGCCCTCTGAATTTTTCTTGGCAGTTTCGGCTCCTGTATTGCTCTTAATCCTGCTACCCCTGATCCCTCAGAGTAGGCATTCCTTTGTCTGCATCCACTGAGGGTTGTGGTCTGGAGGCTGCGCTCCAGGCACACCTGCCTCACAGGGGACAGCACTGACCTGAATACACATCACAGCACTCACAGCCACTTACATCAGGAAACAAGTAAATAAATAACTGTAGCATCGCAGTTAAGTAGTCAAGAGAGCTTGTACCAAGACTAGATCTACCTATCCCCTGGGGTGTATGCTAAGCCTTAGGCTCCTTCTTTTCGGCACAGTAATTTCTAAATAGTGTGTTGCACTGTGACAAAATTCCTGTTGAAATTTTCTTGTCCCTATTTCCTTAGGCACTTTCATGATTATTCACAATTCTACTTTCATCTTCACTTCAGGCATTGCTGGGTACATTGATGAGTATTGCTATGGCAGTTTAAGTTTATTCTGCCTCTCTGGCATGGACTACTGCTTCACATCACAGCTATCAGAATGAACAGGTGCTGAGGCTTCTACCTAACAACAAAGCCAAACAAGTAGATAGTCGATAAAGATGCATCTGAGGGAAGACACTTGGTTTGGGAGAGCAGCAGGCGAAATGCAGGTACACGTTTCCTTCTGCTGACTTTGCTAGAGGGATCAAGTGCACCCTCAGCAAGTTTGCAGATGACACAAAGCTGTGTGGTGAAGTTGACACATCTGAAGGATGGGATGCCCTCCAGAGGGACCTGGACAAGCTTGAGGAGTAGGCCTGTGGGAGTTTCTTGAGGTTCAACGAGGCCAAGTGCAAAGTGCTGCACGTGGATCAGGGAAACAGCTGGTTTCAATACAGATGGGGGATGAATGGATTGAGAGCAGCCCTGTGAAGAAGACTTGGGAGTGCTGGTGGATGAGAGGCTGAGCATGAGCTGGCAATGTGCACTTGCAGCCCAGAAAGCCAGTCGTATCTTGGGCCACATCAAAAGCAGTGTGGGCAGTAGGTCAAGGGAGGTGATTCTGCCCCTCTACTCTGCTCTGGTGAGACCCCACCTGGAGTGCCATGTCCAGTGCTGGGGTCATAAGTACAAAAAAGACATGGACCTGTTGGAGTGAGTCCAGAGTAGTGCCAGAAAAACTATCAGAGGGGTGCAGCATCTCTGCTATGGAAATAGGCTGAGAGAGTTAGGGTTGTTCAGCCTCAAGAAGAGAAGGCTCTGGATAAGACCATACAGTCTCCTAAAGGGGCAACTGTCAGTACAGAAAAGGGCTGCAACAGAGCTGGAGAGGGATTTTTGACAGGGGCATGGAGTGACAGGACAAGAGGGAATGGCTTTAAACTGAAAGAGGATACTTTTAGATTAGATGTTAGGAAAAAATTCTTTCCTGTGAGAGTGGTAAGGCACCAGCTGTGGCTCCCCCATCCCTAGAACTTTTCAAGGCCAGGCTGGATGGGGCCCTGAGCAACATGGTCTAGTGGAAGGTACCCATGGCAGGGGGGTTGGAATTAGATGATCTTACAGGTATTTCTAACCCAAACCATTCTAAGGTTCTGTGAGAGCTCCAACCTGAGGTGACAGCTAACAGCTGCAGAATGGAAATGTCTTAAACTGATGCAGCTGTTGCTAAGTGACTGAGCCAAATTTAGCATTTTAATTTAGCAAATTACACACATTAATGTAGCAAACAGGTGTTAATTTATTACATTAACTATAAATATATTTATGTTCCTTTTTTCCACTTTGCATTTGAGACTGCCTGGCAATAGTGTGAGGAAATTGATTTGAAACTCTAATATTGTCTGGTTTCACCATTCTTTCCTAGCTGATCTTGTGGTATGGTTTGTATCTTGCCATCTGACTCCTTAATTGCAGTTTGCAAGGAAGAAAACCATATAATACTTGAATTGCAAGCTAATCTCTGTTATAAGCAAATGAAATAATTATTTAGAAAACTAATCAGGAAGCATTCAAATCTTCCTTGGTGATGTGCCTACTTTAGTTGTACAGCTTGCTTCCTTCTAGATCGCAAGCATCAGCGTTAAGATTAGCCCAGCATTGTGAAAGCGCTTACTTGGCATTTCATCATCAGAATGAGTACTGCTGGATTTGTGACACTGCTCCTCTGCCAACGTCAAACAGATTTAGGCATAGCAGCCCTCGCATACTCGTGCTGAAACCTGGTCAGTCCTGAAACAGCATGCTAAAACAAGAGCTTACAGTTTGATGCATGGCTGAGAATTCAGAGACTGATACAGATACCTTGCAACTGGATACCCATGAGAATAAAAGAGCTGAACTGAAAGAGATTAAGCAGCTCTTTGTAAATTCTTCCCTGTGAAGTCCAAGGAACTGAGAGCTTCATTGTTTTGTAACCACTTAAAAATTAAAGGGGGAAAACAATTACTTCAGCATGGTCTTCTTGAATATGGTTTTATTAAATGTGCTCTTCCCAGGAATCTAGGCATACAGGCAAAAATAAGAAATCCTCAATACACAGATTTCACAACAGAGCATTGTCCACCATGGAACTTAAATGTTCCCAAACTCAGTTCCCTGTCAGCAAGTAGCTTTCCCACCCTGTTTCAAACACAGTCCCCATACATCAGCAGCTGACTCACTTTCTGCACTGTTTTTTGAAAATTATTTACCTGGGGCCTCTAGGCCCTTTTTCTTATACAGCCATTTACACCTTCCTCTCTGGATGGGATAAAGGCCACCGTCAATAGGGAATAAGTTTCAGCGTCCTGTTTTTCTGCAGGGCTGCTGTCTGCTAACACAAAGCTTTTGGACAGACACTGCCAATCTGATGCAAATGGGAAAATTAAATGTTTCTTCTCTATAGTTCACCTGCCTGCTGAAGATTAGTTCTCTGTATGACTGCAGAGCTGGGTCTCTTCCGGGAGATTTATATTTGCTGCAATTGGAAGTGTTCAGAGGCAACTTAAAGGATTGATCTAGTCTGAGAGCAGAACTGGGAGGTAGGAGCTCCTGAATTCAAAAGGCATTATTGCAGTAGTTTTGCTGCACAGCCTGAGGCTATAGGTTGAGCTCTTACCTCATTTTCCCCATCTGTGATACAGCTCATAGGATGGTTTGGTGATTAATTTATGCTGATGAAGTTAATTACTTGGTCAGAATTTAATAATTTGATAAGAATCTCTATATATCCCAGGAAATGTGGCAAAAAGAAAAGCAAAATAACCAGCCCTAAAACTGTTAATTAACAAACCGAGACAAGATGGTGAAATTCAGGATAGAAACCTCATCAGAGATATTATGGCCAGTTCAGCCAGTGCAACTTGACATTCCTCTGATTTCAGAGGCAGCTTGACAGAAATGTAAAGTTAGAGGATGGTATGTTCCTGAAACCTCAGTTTTACCCTGGCAGTTTTGGAAGATCAATGTGGTGTGCTAAGGCAGCCAGTGAAAAAGTTCAGGGGATTGTATGTTGTAATTTAGTGGTTCTTGCAGGTATATACAAGGAAGCAATTGGAAAGGATTATGCAATGAAATTAATTTATTAAGATTTCCTGTGTCCTGCAGAACAGTCTGTGACTCATAAGCGATTTGGACAGCACTGAGATGTACATCATATCAAAGGAATTCTGCAGGGCCAGCTCTCTTGGCAGGCTTGTTGTGATCTATATCTCCAGTGTAACTTTGGTTATAGTGTGACCAACCAGTATAATTAAATTATCAGTGTCACTGTCCTCAGCAAAATTGCCCCTTAGCTTGTATAGCTCCCTCTGTTGGAATAACTATTCAAGCTCTCTTTGCCCCGCAAAATGGGTGCTCCATCTCTCCCGCTTTTTGATGAGTTAATAATTTGAATTATCTTGCTGTTTTTACGGTATTTTGTCTGCTCCAGGTTAGTTCAGATAATGTTGCTGAAGACCTTTACTTTGCACTTTAACAGAATTTAACTGCACTGATGTCTGAAGCTGCTATGAAATCTCTCAAAGTCAATGTAGTTTTTCCAAAACATTTGAAGTCAGCTACTCTATAATCTTTTTGTTATGATCCACTTAGTCCCTCTTGGACACAATGCAAATAGGTAGAAATGAAGGGTAGTGGTTTCATATTTTCATGGCTTGCTTGTGAAACATCTGAAATGCCCGGAGACCCCATGTCTGTCAGTGCTCTGCAGTTTTTGGTTGCTATTCATGTAACCCAGTGAGGCAGAAGAGCAGAGATAAGAGAAAGAACAGAGGAAGATTTCTCTCTGCAGTTTTCTCTCCAGGGTTTTGTTCAGTCCAGTTTTAAATGGCTCTGGCTACTGAAGTGATTCAAGCTATGACATTTTGGCAGGGTGTGAAACAAAATCTGGCGGAGGTGCTATGACTGAAGGGCTGTTTTTGTTCTCTCTGAAATGTGTAGCAAATCTCTCACTGGCTTCAGTCAGAACAGGATCAGGTCCTCCGAGTCATTCAGTTTGAATAAGCTCCATAAAACCAGCAAAAGAATCTAATTTTGTTGTACCATTACACTGTTACAATCTCTTTCAGGCTCTCCCTCCTCTGTTTACAGTGTCCTCCCATGCAACTAAGACTTTCTGTGTAGAAAAAATGAGCTGCTTTTGTTAGGTTTTGAGTAATAAATAGCCCTGGATTAGTAGTCCCTGTCTGATGTCTCATTCAGACTGTCTCTTGCATTACCTAGCTTTGTTTTTAAGCCCTGATACTGGAAGTGGAAACTCTCCAGATGCATACTTTAGAAAAATCAATAAAGAGAGGAAAAGCTAATTGATTTTAAAATTATTTTTATTATTATTTTCTTTGTAAGATGGCCCATTAAACTTGGGGAGTCCCTAATGAAAGGTAAGTTTGCTGCAGCCTTGTTTTTCCAGAGTCATCTCCCCTTGATGTTATAGCTTTCTTTTTTATTTCTCCCAACATATAGGTAAAAGGAAGTTTTAAAAAATAACATAGTTCTGAATAATTTGGATTAATTTCACTTTCAGAAGAGTTATTCTGGTTTTTTTACTGGTTTAGCAGGAGCTGTTGAGCTCAAGTTACGAGTAAATCCATTTCCAATGTGTTACTCCACAGGCTCATAGAGGAGGATTTATCTCATCACAGAGCTATAGTAAAACACAATAAAATAAATGGAAAAGTGATTCTGAGTGTCTGTTATAAAACCTTTTCAACTCTGTAAGCTGAATCCTAGAAGGAAAACCTGTCGCAGACGTGTCTGTTGGGAAACCTGTTCTAGGCAGCTAATTTATATTTTGAGCAATGTTATTTTTTTCTGAGTTCTTTGTATTGAGGAGAGAAGCTTAGAGTCATGGTTCGGGGCTAGTCCAGAAACCTGTTCACACCTGAGGCCAGGACAGTCACTCAAACAGTTCTAAGAAGTCTCTGCCACACAATGTTCCAGGCCAGGACCACTTACTTGTACTGGTGGCTGAACAAGAGCCAGTAACCATAGACAGTTCTGTGATTTCTGCAGGTATTTTGCCAGTCAGGAGACAGGCTCTCCTGTGCTTGAGATGTTTGTCTGCTGTTACTATGCTACTTTCCACACTTCCTTCACTGTCAGCAATTCTTTCATGCTCCAAAGGCTCAAGTGAATAAGCAGTATTTATGACCTCTCCCTTCCCCCACACCTCTCAGCAGTGCCCCTCTTACACCTCTCAGCAGTGCCCCTCTTGCTCTCCCTGGGTGCCTTGTTCTTTGTCTGCAGCTGCCTGTATTCTGTAAAGTAGAGCTGCTGTCATGATTCTTCACTATGAGAGTGGTGAGGCATTGGAACAGTTGCCCAGAGAAGCCGTGGATGCCCCATCCTTGGAATCGTTCAAGGCTAGGTTGGATGGGGCTTTCAGCAATCTGTTCTAGTGGAATGTGTCCCTGCCCATGGCAGGGGGGTTGGAACTAGATCATCTTTAAGGTCCCATCCTTTCTAGGATTCTATGATTTCCAGTCGAGACAGAACACTGATCATTAAAGGAGTGTCTAGACCATATTTGTGTCCTCACCTGAGGTTGGCTGGTGGGATCAGGGAAGGAAGGGACTTTCAAAAGTGAAGTGAATGATTAAATAAGGCGGGGGGTGGAAGGAAGGGGAAAGGAGAGGAAATAGGACTAGATGTTTCAAGAAACAGCTGGAGAAGAATAGGGGCAGGGATGGATAGGGGCTTTTTGGACTGCAGGCAGAGGGAAGTTCTGATGCTGGGAAGTATAGCTACGACTGCAGTTGGAGAAGGAAAGAGGAAATTTTGAGTCTAGTTCCTGCTTTTTATATCTGAAAACAGACTTTTCTGTTATGGCACTCGTTTCCACAGATTCTTGCACAATGTAGGATTAACATACATAATGGTCAGCCCCTGGACTTTGCATAGCTCCAGTGACTGACCCAATGTGTTTGAAACTTATACCCCCAACCACAAAAACAGCTTATGACATTTCAATTTGTTTTTTACCTAAGATCACCAGTGGTTGGTCATATTTTTTTGAAAAACAAACTATTTGCATCATTGAGAAAATATACAAAATCTAAGCCAAACCCAGGATCCCGTAGAGCTCCAAAGAAACTCACTCCATGTTTTTAAGCTTGAATTAGCAGCATGCCTCAAAACTCAGATATATGTGTTTAAATTCAGCTATTAGCTAATGAATCAAAGACTGACCTCACTGTTAAGCCATTGCCCATCTGTATTTTATGAGTTCCAGAGATACACAAGGCTTCCAGAATCAAATAGTCATTTGTGGCTTCCCTAGTATTCCCCCGACTTGCTGACTGCTCACCAAAGCACTGAACGCTCTTAGCTGTCTCTGTGCAATTTCCTGGCTAAAGGAGATCTGGAATGTAAAAGTGTATTCATCATCAGAGGTTTTGCAAGATTCCAGGACTTCAGTGAAGCGGTAAGAGATGATTTAAAATTGGAATGGCATGAATGTTCCTCTAAGTTTTCAGTCAACTATAGGGTAACTTAACGAACAAGAATGTAACCCTTAAGGAGAACCTGAATTATTTGGGATTTTAGTATCACAAAAATGTACCAGGTTGTAATAACTGTTATAACTGTACCAGACAGATCCTGGCCCTCTACTGTGAGCCTCTCAGTACAGAAAGGGAGGACTAAGTGGCAAGTGGGAACATGTACAATATGACTCTCTAACCATTTGTCTGGAGTGAAACAACTGCATAAAGCCAAATACCGAGAAATGGTAGCGCATAAGCTGGATTTTTCGACTTCAGTGCTAAGATCAAACAAGAGTAACCCAGAGCTAGCTTTGCTAAAATGGTGACCCTGGTTCCTCTTCCTGTATCTGAACTCATATTAGGTAGAGAAATCTTAGCAAACCTTTCTCCAAGGATGTTAGGAGGTGCATGTCCATGTTAAATATGCATCAGATGTAATGTGCTACTTGTATACATTTTGGCACTGATTTTAACTTCCGTTGTGATGGGTATTACACACTATCTAACATCAGGATATGTAAGATGGGAACCAGATGCTATTCTTCACTAGTCAGGTGTTCTGATCCTTTTGTTATTTTTTACTTTGCTTTTCTGGCACTAAAACACCCTAAAACTTACCGAGGAAATGAAAAATCACTGCTGACGTGCTTTTGTGTGTTTGTTCAGGAAAAACATCGGTGCATCACAGATTTGGGTCCAGAAACACATTCCTCACTGCTTTAGTCTGCTGTATTATCTGGACAAAATGAAAAGGAGATAGTTGTGATTTGAAAGTGTTCTACATATATTTTGCAGAGCTGTACAAGCTTACATGATATGTAGGGCAGTGATGAATCATAGTCTGTCTTCTTCATCACTTTACACCACTATAACAACATTACTTTGCTGGATTGACTTCTGATTTACTGGGTGAGAAACCCCCAGGCAGTGGTATGCTGACCCACCATCACCTTCAATTTTGCTTGCTGGTGCTTGCTGTTTTCTGCATCTTTGCAGTGAGATCTTTGGCTGAGGAACTTTGTAACTGTGTATTGTATAACTGTAGGACCCCTTTTCTCTTTTTGTCTTTTTCTTTTCCTAACTACTAAGACCTAGAGATTTGTAATTAGTTATCAAGTCATTAATGAATTCTGGTTTCTTCCTCATAGGCTGCAGCCAATTTGTCTCTATTTGCTAGAGCAGATTAAAGGAGTGGACAGGTTATTGCAGGTGACTAAGTTGGTACATCCTAACAAGTTACTGTCTCACAGCTAAGTTTTAGCATCTGTGATTACACCTGTTCTTGTGTTCCCCCTGCATTGTGTCAGCCAAGATATCTGGGGATTTGATCTGGCTGAAAAACATCCAGAAAAAATCTTGGGTGAACCAGTTCCTTGATCCCTTCCCTTACATAGCTGCACAAATAGCTGTGCTGGCACAGTGCAGGGAATAGCTCAGGAACAGAGATGCACAGCAGAGTAAGAACTATTGATACTGGTACTGCTGACAAAGAAGAAATCATCAGGCTATGCCCTACAGCAGTGGTACTGCTCATTCTGCTGTGTGTCTGAAGAGGAGCAAAATACAGTTCTTACGTGATCACTATATAACTGATTGTTCAACAGAGTTGGTCTTTGAGGCTGGGGCCTGGTGCCAGGCTTCTTCCCACAGAACATAGGAAACCCTTTGGAGGTGTAAGAAATCCCCCTTTTTGCCCACACTGGAAAAGAGTCATCTGACTTTAACCTGATTACAAGCCAGGATGGATCCTTTCCCTGAAAACCCCCTGAACACTTTGCTCTGAGTGCTTAGAAATGCAAATAAAATGATTTACATTTCACTCATTCCTTTCTCAAGTACCAAATTCTGGTTTGCAGTTGTAGCTTTATATCCCATTCTGGTGCTGTTCATGGACATCCTCCTCCTTTTGTTGTGGAACGCCCTCTGAAATACCCAGCAATAGTTTCAGACAAAGGAATCTCAAAATCTGGGTAAATTCAGAAAACTGTAAGTATTGTAATCCCAGAATATCCCTTCAGGATACTTCTTTAGGATTCCACACTACTGCAGAGTAGGATAATAGCAAAATGTAAGAACACGGTTCTGAAAGTTTTGGTGAGATCCCTTGGCAATAAATATACAAAGGTTTAATTGAAAGAATTTTTGAACTGTGTATTGTCTTTCCTCATTTTCAAGTGGCTTTAAAGCACCTATAATGGAAGTCCTGGTTATTTCATGCTTCTTTAAATACCTTTATACAGCTAAAGATAGGGCTCTTAGTGTCACAGAATCCAGAATGGGTAAGGTTGGAAGGGACCACAGTGGGTCACCTGGTCCAACCTCCCTATTCAAGTAGAGTCGACCTCAAGCATGTTGCACAGAATTGCATCAGGATGGTTCTTGAATACCTCCAGTCAGGAAGACTCCACAACTTCTCTGGGCAATCTGTTACAGTGCGTGGTCACCTGCACAGTAAATAACTTCTTCCTCATATTCAGGTGGAACTTTCCGTGGACCATTTTCTGTTTTTTCTTGTCTTATTACTTGGCACACTGAAAAGAGTCTGGCTCCATACTCATGACACTCTCCCTTCAGACACTTATAGACATCGATGAGGTCCCCTCTCGGTCATCTCTTCTCAAGGCTGAAGCTCCTGCAGCCTTTCCTCCTAAGAGAAATGCTCATCCCTTAATCATCTTTGTAGTTCCCCACTCCAGAAGCTCCATGTGTCTCTTGTACTGAAGAGTGCAAAACTGGACACAGTACTCCAGATGCAGCCTCACTAAGGCTGAGCAGAGTGCAGTACACCAGGTATGCATGGACCAGGCCTTAGGTCAACCACTGCAATTACCTTACTTGTCCATTTTCCATGGGGTTGAATGGATGTATTTGGCAAAATACCTTGCCAAACAAGGCGTGTTTTTGCGTATTCTCTTGCCTGGGTTCACAATTTATTTTTTTTAAATTATCAGGGTGTATCCATATTTCTGAAAAGGCTTTGGGATTTCAAGTGTGGTACAAAAGGAAGTTAGTTTTCAGGTCTTGGTTCAGGGCTGAAGGGTAACTGTTAGGTTTTAACTCCAGCTTTGATGGTGCCCCCTTCATGGATCTGGCATTTAAGCTGAGCTGCCTGGTTTTTACCTCAGTTCCCCGCCAGCAGCAATCCTGTAAGCTCCCATGTAACTGTGGGATTCTTGATACCGGCTGGTTCTGTGGCTGTCTTTGAAGCGAAGTTACTGATATACTACCCTGAACTGACATAAACACCTTTATGTTGCAACCAGGGGACAGACTACGGCCAGACGGTGCTTGGGGGAGCTCATGCCTGTGTGTGTGAATTTGAATCCAATTTTAAACGTATCCAACGGAGGGAAGCGATTCCAAGTGTTCAATTCCACAGCAGGTTCAGCTGATTGAAATCAGCTCTGTGGCAGTCCCACTCTATCAGTCCTAGACTCGCATTCTCCCTTCCTCCATTCGTTTACTTTTGCGATGTTAATTTTCTGCTGGTTTAGCTCCCGAACAAACTTGTCACTGGAACTTGGAAATGCTGGTACAAGGGGGAAGGGCAAGACTGTGGCAGCGCTGTCTTCATCAGTCGTATATAGGGGGAATGTTGTTTCGGCACAAAAGGCAGGTCTGGTGTCCTGCATTATGTGTCTCTCTTTTGCCTGTATCTACCTGCTTCACTCAGCATTTCACTCTCGTACATCAAGAGAGCACGTCTGCAGAGCACAACCTCACCATGCCCGTGCTCTGTTCTGGAGAGCAGTGCAGCTGTACGTGCGGTCGAATCCCTCCTCTTTTCCTCTCTCGGCAGAGCACACGCGCTGAGCCGAAAACTCCTGTTAACTAGGGTGACAAGTTTCCAGCAAGCTTTAGATCACGGGGAGAGGGAACACCCGGATCCCGGCAATATAAGGTATAGACGCCTCGGCTTTTGCAACACAGCGGTAAGGCAGAGCCCTTTTTACTCTTGCCTTTTTTGGATCTGCACGCACACAGCGCTCAGCACAATGGAGCCGGCTCAGCGATAGCACAGCGCGATACGGGGAGCAGAAATAAAGTCATTGCAGCGCCGCTCGCCAAGGGTGTGATTGCCGGCGATCCACTCCCCGCGTGGCGGCTCCGCCGATGGCGTGATCGCCAAAGACTTCTACGTCCCAGGCCGGCGCCGCTCCCGCCCTCTGCCCTGCGGAGCCGCGGGGCTCCGGGCAGCCGCCACTTCCCGAGGCAGCACTGAGGAACACGGTCCGGGGTCCCGATCTGCCGCACCCGGAAGGTACCACCCCCTCCCCCCAAAAAAACTTTCCACCGCGGGCCGCTCGGCTGCGATGCCGCGCCCCGGGCGCCGATCGGAACGGGCAGGACCGGCCCCCCTGCCCGGGTGCCGCGGGCCCCGCTGCCCACCTTGGCGGCCGGGGGGCGGCGGGGGGGCCCCCCGCAGCCAATGGCCGCGGCAAGGCGGGCAGGGTGCGGGAGGCGGTGCCGGGCCCACAATAGGGGCGGTGGGACGGAGGGAGGGAGGGACGGCGGTGTGGGGAGCGGGGCCGGGCGCGGAGCCGCGGGAGAGCCGGGCAGCACCTTGCGGCGGGCGGAAGGTGAGTCCTGCCGCGCCGGGGAAGGGGATTTCCTCCCTTGTTTCGTAACCGGGAAGTTTGCACAGAGGTTGAGCGGCCGGCTTCTTTTTTCTCCCACTCCTCCCCACCTCCTTCTTTTTTTCTTTTCTTTTAGGAGGGAGGTACGGAGCCTGCCTTCCCCCTCCGGTCTCCCCCGCCTCCTACCCCCCCGGCTCATTCATTTGATAAAGGGAGTTGTCCTCAGCCCCCGGGCTGTGCAAGCGGGGAGCCGCTCGGGGCCTCATGCGTGGGGTCTCGGGGCAGAGGTTGGGGTGGGAATCGGGGCTCAGCCCAGAGTTTCTGCAGAGTACCCCGTCTAGGCTCCGATTGGAGGGGCGGGCGCTTTGGGCAAACACAAAGAATTGAGGAGCTGGACCCATGCTGGGCGATGGGGTGATGAAGCCCTAGGCTTTGTGTGGCTGGTGCGGAGGGATGGCGAGGTGGGGGCTTGTCTTTTAACCCCTCCGTCCGCGTGTGTGTACGAAACCGTGGCTTTTTGCTAGTAAAGTACTTAAAAGCAAAGCTGAACTTAGGATCGTGGGGTGATTCAGATGGGAAGAGACCTCAGAAGGTCTCTAGTCCAGCGTTCTTCAAAGCAGGGGCTTCTGCCAGGGGAGTGGGTAGCAGTGAAGGAACATCGGAGATGGGTGGCACCTCTGGGTGCTCTTGAGTGCTCCTGGGAGACCGAAGGAGAGGCAGCACCAGCAGGACGAGTCATCAGGGGCAGCAGCGCTTCTGTCTTCCACTGTGCATGGAAATGCCCTAATCCACAGCTCTTCCATCCCTGCAATCCGTGTTCTTGATGCTTTTGTTATCCAGAGGGCTTAAAATTCATGATTGTTGGGAATAGCTGGCTCCATCCCGTATGTGTGTCGCGGTACATCTGCTCCTGCTGAGCATTACTTGAGCCTTATTCCGACATTGCCTCCAGGAGTTTTTTCTTCAGGAACAAGATTTATAAATAGGTGTCAAAACCTGGCTCTTTGCTTGGGACCTGTTACTGGCTGTAAGGCGTGTACTTGATGTGGTAATTAAGTATGAGATATATGTGTGTGTGTGTAAGAACAATCGTAAAAGCTGTTTAGTTAGCCAAGATTTTAATTTTCAAAGTGAAAGCAGGTATTGTAGTTTGGTGAAATGGCTGTGTCGGGCTCAGACGGAAGAATGTTTGTTTTCTTTGCTTGCAATTACTCTTTGTACAGTGGCTTACTGATGCCTTTCACTGAACTACCTCCCCCTTTTCTTTACCTGGAGTTTCCTGGTGTTGATTCACTGGCCAAGCAGGGAGCATCTTCCTGTTTGCTGCTCTAATACTTCTTAGTGTGGGTGTGTTCATCTTATTCGCAGCTTTTTAGGGTAAGGCTGGAAAAACTCCTTGTGGAACAGTTTGTGTGTGTGTCCAGTGGATGCTTGGAAATTGCTTTTCCCTGTGCGCTTTCTGTGGATAAGTCAGAGAAGTGAAACTCATTTCTGCACAGAGAACAGAAGGTATGGTGGGAATTTAAATATGTCTGCGTACTGATTCTGTTTAACTCTGGATTGCCTGTCTTGTGCCACGGGGAAGAATTTGTTCTCAGCTGTACTGTATAGCAAAGCTGGAGATTAAGACTGGAGGCTGATAAGACTTTTTTTTTTTTTTAGCCTTCTTGAGTCCTGTGGGGAGGAACCAACACCTTTAAATGGGATGATATAACTACCATTCTTTGATTTGGAAATGAAAGCCAAAAATAAAATTGAAGAACAAAATGCTCTTGTATCATGACAGCAAGAATGCTTTTACTGGTTTTAGGAAATATTATGTGCTCTGGATGTTGCTCAGAAAAAAAGAATAAGGAAAAGTGAGGCTTTTAGTTCATACTTTTCTGTGCATCATGGGGATATTGGAAGAAATATGCAACAAGTTCAGTATAACTGCCACAAGTGAAAATATATTGTTTGTTTATTGTGTTTATGACTGCCTTGCTTGCACTGAGTTGAAAACTGATGCTATCTCTTTTTACCTGAGAGGTCAAAGAACTGCTTGATTATCCTTTTCCAGGTCTGTGGAGGGAGACTTTTTCTCTCAGCTTTGACTCCAATGCATAAATTTCACCTAGTTTGCTAACTAGTGTTTTGTCTTTTTTTGAATGTGAGTGAGCTGCATTGTGGCTTCTTTCCTTCTTTCTCCCTTTTGTGCACCTGTCTCACTTCCTTGGTGTGGGAAGTTTTGTAGTTTCCAAAGCTAGTTGTTATGGTCCAGTTCCCTTACATTTGTAAGAGAGTACAGAACCACCTAGAGCTGAAACAGACTTTTCTCTGTAGCAAAATACAGAAGTGATCCAGAGCTCCACCCTTAAAGTGATCTGGTTTTACAGTTCATCCTGTCAACAGCAGATAACAGAAGCAAATAGACTTGTAAAGGAACTGATCGGTCTGGGTGAGGAGGTACAAGACATAGACTGAAACCAGACAACTAAAAAATAAGTTATATTTCTTTAAAGCCTAGGCATGATTTAGCCCTTTTACAGGTACAAGAATACCTCTTGTTGGCTTTTTACCTCTATGGGAAGGTAAAAGAATATTGTGTGCCAGAATTGTGTTATGTGAAAGAGCCTTTTTCTATACCTGGCAAGGAGCTGAACTGTTTTTCTCAGCCTGATGTCTTGGCCCGTATAGGAACTGGGGAGAAGGTAAGCATGTTCTGCTTGATGCTGAGGGCTTGCTCTTATGGAAAAAATAGTCTAGTGTGTGACTCATGCACTTGTACAGCTCTGACCTGGGAGGAACTGCTTTGCACTCCTGTTCCCAGAGGTGGGAATGGCTAGGTCCATTCCGTTTGGTGGCAGTGGAACTGGGGCTGTCAGCAGATGCTCACTGATGTGGCCTGTAAGTCACTGGGATCAGATCTTCCCTTCTGAACTTAAGGCATGTGGTGTTCTTTAGCAATGAATAGGTTAGAAGTACCTAATGCTGCTTGTGCTAACCAGGTTTTTACTCAAACTGAAGTTTGAGTTTGAAATTCTTGCACTTGGGTGCAGCTGTGCACAGCATGTGTAGATGTGGATGTTATGGCTGTGAGGGGTAACACTCAGTGCTGCCAGTGGTGATGACTGCTCCTGGCTTTGTGCAGGAGAGGGAGCTTACTTTTGTCCCATCCCTTCTCAGGCACATCCTCAGAGCTGGGGGTGGGAGTCTGGGTCCTCCTGTGATCTGTCTCTTTTCCAGCATGTGACAGTGGGGTGTGTGTCACAGTTTCAGGGCCCTTCGTGGGTTTCACTTGATGAAAACGTGGATGCTCAGAGCTGAACAAGTCTCCCCAGGCTTCCATTATGATCAGCAGAGAGAAAAAGGGCCTTTTAGGATGTGTTTTATATCATCCTCCAGTAGGCGTTTTCAAAATAGGTCAGAGAGGTGCAGTCTAAAAATGCTGATTCCTCCTGTAGTCACCCTGGTCTCCTCTGTCTCCCATGTGTTGTGTTATACATGGCAGCAGGTAGCTGAGAGGAGTTTCAGCTGCTCCCCTCACTGTGGGGATGCAGGCAGGTACCATTGCTAACAGATCCACCAGAAAAAGCACTGTAGTAGCATAGCTTTCACCAGTTCCCTTCATTTTAGCACTTGTTTGTTGGGAGGGGGGAAGAGGAAACAAACAAACAAAAAGCTATCTGGTTAGTGTATTTCCGGGGGAATTTGAAGAAAAAGTTGAAGTTCAGTTCTGGTTCGTGCACTAATATACATTTTCAGACTGGCAACCCAAGTGTTCCAGTTTCCACTTGTATACTATCAATCTCATGCATATAGTCTGAGAAGCAGGTTAAACAATAACTTCCCTTCCATGGTTTTGTTCCTTCTTGCAATCTGTACTCTTTGGACCTGCTATATAGCTAGTTTGTTTTCCTCTTAAGATGGCATAACTGCCTTAAAGCCATTCTGTTTCCTCCTTCCTGCCTAGAATCAGTGAAGTAAAGTGACAGTGAATCTGGCATCCTTTTATCATCTTAGGTTTAAAAAAAGGAGGAGGGAAAAAAGTTAATGGTATAGAAAAATGGTCCTAATCTGGGAAAATCAGGACAAATCATAAGACTGCAGCAGTAGTAACTAAATGTACTTTCTGAAAAGAAATAATTTCTACCAAAGTAGCCCTTTGTGATCTCAATCACCTTGTGAGAAACAGTGCATGTAATATATCGTGACTGCCTTGAAGTGTACGACATCTAGCTGCAAACAGTTCCTTGATCTAGGTGGGCCTGTAGCTGTGGGACTATGAGGAAGTCAAGTGGCAAGTACATGCTGCAGGCAGGTGGGGCTTAAAGCCTTGT